GGCGGGGCGGGGCGGCCGCGGCTCGGACCCCATTGGCAGCCGGCGGGCGCGCGTCACCCGGGCTGGCGCTCGCCTCCGGCCCCCTTGGAACTGGAGCCGAGGAGGAGCCGAAAATGCAGATTTAGCATCAACGCCGGTATCCAGCCACTCGCTCTCGCGGTCGCTCTCCAGTGCACACTGCCCCCAGTCGCACCCTGCGAGCCCGCCGCCGGGCTGCTCGGCTTCCCCGCCAGCTAGATGCAGGCGGCGGACGCGCTCTGATCGGCTGCATCCCAAGCTCTGCTCAGTCCTTTTCCCCATACAAAGATTAAAAAAAAAAAAAAGCCAAAACTCCATACCTTCTTTAATTGGCACCGTCCCTCCAGGTGCCCTGTCCAGCAGGCTGCGCGCCTCCAGCCCCACTTCCCACTCAGGAGAAGGATGAAGAGGGGCTGTGGCTCGCGGTGGCCGGCAGCCGCCGGGCTCCTCTTCTGTGTCATGGTTTCTGCATCCTCCGAGAGACCCGTCTTCACGAATCATTTCCTCGTGGAGTTGCATAAAGGAGGAGAGGAAGAGGCTCGCCAAGTTGCCGTGGAGCACGGCTTCGGAGTCCGGAAGGTAAGCTCTTTGCATTTCGCATGTCGCTTCCAGGCGAGGGGCAGTAGCCCTGCGCAATCTCCCTGCAGATTTGCAAGTTTTCTTTTTCCTGCGATGCAGATAGTCTGCCATCGGCGCTTACACACGACACTGCCTCCGGTGATCTTTCACGGGTTATGTAATTAAAATGTCCTTCGTCTGCACTAGTAAGGTCATCAAAATCGTTTATTGCTTTTTGACTTGGTGGCGGCGGAAAGACGGTAACACCTTGCAAACAGTGCTGCGCGCCCGGGCTGCTGTCCGAGGTACCAAGTTCTCTGTGCTGCCAGAGGGTGGAGGGGTGAAGCCCCAACTGCTGGACTTGGCTTGAGCTGCTTTGCCAGGGATGTCTCTCCCACCCCCATCCCTGAGAAAGAGTCGTTTCCCGCCGACAGGGCAGCAGGAGTGGACATTGTTGTTCACCTCGGCGTTCCCCTACCCCTAGTCTTGCGGGGCTTCCCTACCTACCAGTGACTTGGTCCTCGCGCTTTTCTGGGGACAAGAGCTTCCTGACTCTAGGAGGCTCGTGACTTGAATTGGTCTCTCTCCCAAGATCTAGGCAGAACTTTGGCACCCTGCACCACCCCCCCTGCGCCCGCCCACGACCGCCCACCCGCTGAGCGCACTCTTTGTTGGCTCAGAGTTCTCAACTCCAGGGTGGCAGGGAACCAGGAAAGAGGTCGATTTGGAGGGGAATTCCTCGAGAAGTCGAGGTGTCCTCTCCCAGTCTGTGGGCGGCCAGGCTGGCTTTCCCAGGAGAGCGCGGGGATCTCCACTGCAAGAAGTTGTCTCAGACCAACTGATTGGGTAGTTCAGATGCCTCTGGACTCATCTGGAGGCTCCAGGGGACGAAAGGGGGGAAAGAGCGCGAGTGCTGCTCGGGGGCCGCAGCTGTGTCCGAGATATCGGGCGTCCTCAAGGGACCTGGCGCCTGGCGGGGTGGAGGGAGGGTGAAGCAGGAGCACGAAGGACAAGAGATGCATCTGTCTGCCGGGAGGCTGGATGGACATCAGGGAGGTTTCGGGCAGTCCCCTTCTCCTGGGCCCAGGAGCAGAGGAGCATAAGATGCTTGGAGGCTGCTCCCGGGTGCTACCTTTACCTTGAAGGGCGCGGGGGCTGAGGGGCTCCCATTCCGGCTCCCAGCTTCCCGCCTCCCTCCCAGCTACTGCAAGCGCTCCTGGCACCGCCGGCGTCGGGCTCTCCCGCCCGCAGAAGGCGTAGGCAGCCGCCACAATTTCCATCCCAGCTCTGTTTGGCTAGGAGTTTGGCGGAGGTCGGGTAGGAGGCGCGGCACCGGCCTGTGGCGCGCGGGCGGGTCGCGCAGAAGAGAACTTGTTGCTCCGGGTTAGGGAAGCGTGGGCGGAGCAGGAGACGAGTCGCCGGGGAACCAGCGGCCCAGGTCCTGGTCACAACCTAAGGACCGTTTCGAAAGCGAGTGAGTCCGATGGATAAACAAGCAGACCCAAGTCTGTCTCCAAGAAAGAAACCATTTTTAACTTTTTATTTTGAGACGGGGCCTCCTAATTCGCCAAATTTCTCAGGCATGGCTGGAATGTATGCTCCTCCTGCCTCGGCTTCCCGTGTGCCACCCCAAATTTGGCAAAACCCAGGATCCAGGCACTGACATACAGTATTGGGAATGTTTGGGAGCTCGAGCCCTAGCACGCATTCTCCTATGGTTGTTGAGCCTGTGGGGGCTGAGGGAATCCGTTCAGAAAGAGGCCCAAAATAAAAACATGCAAAGATTGCAAGATTGACCTTGAGGAGGAGGCCCAGCAGTCTTGAACCCCTAGTTCCTGAGGGTCCTGCTCTGTTACAGATGCTGGGAAGCGATGTGGCATCCAGGTCCGTGAGTACCAAAGGGCTGCAGAGAAGAGGAAGCTACCACTGACTGTGGCTCCTTTCCCTGTGACTACTGTATCCAGGAACACAGACATTGCTACTCTGGTTTTCTCTCTCCTCCTCCCACTTTTGAAAACATACTCTTAGGAAGTGATCAGAGAAACCTAATTAAACCTAGGTTTATCTGAGTCCGGTCATGACTTGACTGTTTAATTCAAAACATTTATTTTTTCACTAGGAATAAACAGCTTGATGAAGGTTGTAGTAATGAGGGATTGAACTGAACTCAGGACCTTCACACCAAGCTAGTCCCTGGACCTCTTTTATTTTCTAATTTTGAGGCAGCCTAGCTAAATTACTAAATTTCTGAGGCAAGGCTCAACCCTGATGAACCTGCTGTCCCAGCCTCCTGGAGAGCTGGGACCAGAGAGACATGCACCACTATGCCAGGCTGGCATTCATGCTTTTGATAATGGAATTCCAACAAGAAGCTATAAAGGCAATCTCCTTACATGGGAATTGCCTCCGTGGACTCACCTTAAACCCTCCAAGAACTTGCACTTTGAGTCAAAGCAGGTAAAGAGGCCTCTTTCATCCCTTTGTTTCTTGGAAACAAGTCCACTGATTTCACACCACAATCCTGAAGTTTCCATCTGGGAGGAATGGACTCCCCACCTCACCTTCTCTTTCTCCCTCTCCAACACCTTTCATGTAGTGTCTCTTAACAAACCCAGTGGCTTTGCCCTGCCACATAGGTAAGGAACAATCAGTCTGTGACAGGACACTTCTGCCAGATGCACCAGGATGGAGCACTTGCCAGAACTTAGCCCTCAGTACCTCCTTTGGATCCAGGGGTACCAGCCTTTCAGGCCAGGGGTCTATCCTTCCTGAGCACTTGAACCCCATGGATCTTCCCCTCTTTGGGATCCTACAGGGCCAAAAGGAAGAAGCCTACTGTGGGCAGGGATGCTGTGACCCAGGCCTACATTGAGAGAGTGTAGCTACTCTTCTTCCTTTGGAAACCTAAATATTATTTCATCTATCTTTCTGGCTTCCTCCCCATAATCAGCATGTGACTGTGCTTCCAACCCTATAGAAATGTTGCTTGCGATTCCAGGCCTCTTATGCATTTCTTGCCCTGCTATCAGTACTGACAGCTGTCTACTGTTGCTGACTTGTTCTGCACCTCAAACCCTGAATGTGCCCTTCTCCTCCCAAGCTCTGCCCCTCAGCAGTTTCCCATCTCCTAATGGCCTCCTATGGTGCCCAGAGACTCTCAGGCACCAGTCTCCAGTTCTGACTCCTCCATAGGAAGAAACAGGAAGGCAGACCAGAGGACCTGCTGTGATTCACCCCTGGGCCCCTTCCACCCTCACAGACTAGAAGCTATAGGCAGCAGCTGCAGCTCACAGATGAAAATGTAAAAGCTCTAAGAGGTTAAGTAACTGCTTACACTTAGCAAATTAAAGAACTCGAATTTAAAACCAAATTTACTTGATAGAGAATAATTCTTTTCCTAGTCTGCCTCCAGAAAGCCTTTTCTGATTGCCAAGAACTCTGCCTTTTTTCTTTCTTTCCTGATGTTTTTCCTTCCCTTCCTTTTCTTTTTTTTTGGTCATCCACTACACATGCGCATCATACTTCCTCAGATGAACCTCAAATCCTCCAGAAGGAAAGAGATGCGCTACTTCTTCTTACCATCCCGATTTTGTGTAAACTAGAAAAGTATTTGTTGATTGTTTAATTACTGGATTCTTGAAACATCATTAGTATGTATGTTACTCCTTTTAAATACAATAAAAATATCCATAATTTTATCTCAGACCAGTGTGGAGAGAATACAGTTTTCTGTTTTGTCATGACCTGGCCTGGCCCCAAAACTCTGTGCATACCAGGACATGCACAGAAGTTGAGAGCTGCAGCGTCTCCTAGACCTCAGTCCAAAGAGCGCCTTGGCAGTCTCAGCACACTGTTCATCCTAAATCCCATGAAAAAGAACACAAAAACTACTTCCTGGAGTAGCAATGAGGATGGGAAGCATTAAGCTTTTTTAAAAAATCAAGAGTTCTGGTTTTGTAAAAGGTGATTCACCTTTTTTTGTTTGTTTGTTTGTTTCCTCAGGGTCCGTTTTCTTTCTGACCCTCAGGGGACTGACATTAGGTGTTCACACAGGTAAAATCAACTACTCTTTTTATATGTGTGATACATGTTTTATTTCAGAAAAACAATCTAGTAATTGTGTACACAGGTAGTAAAAGTAAATTGCTACTGATTTTCTTTTCAGAATATATAATGCAATTTAATTTAGGTGTGAGCACAGCTTAATGTATTCAGAAAACCAGTGCCCTTATGGAGCCAGCGCCCAGATCAGGAGATAGAATCTTCAGCCCGCAGGCCTCCTCTTGCTGTCCTGGCCAGTTTTCAGCTTAGCTCGTTACACATGTTGCCTCTGTGGACATCGAAGTACAATTGCTTCTCTACCAGGCATTTCATATCTATAGATTCAGCCAGCCATTGTCTGAAGCTGAGCATGTACAGACCTTCCACCCTCTTAATTATTCCCTAAGCAGCACAGTGTGGCAGCTATTTGCGTAGCACTTACATGTAGTAGGTATTGTAAGCGATAGAGGTGGTTTCCAGTACATGTAGAACACTGTGTGTGGGTTCTGTGTAACTCCCACACCAGGTTGCCAAAAGCACTTGAGCACCCGGGGGAGGATGTGGATATCCTCTGAGGGTCCCAGCGTCGATCCCTCAGATACCAGGGGACAGATTTGTGTGCTTTGCCAAACCCGTATATGCTTTTCTGTTGGAAATTCCTGGGAGTGGAACTGAGTCAAAAAGGACACACACATTTGCTTTAGGAGAGACTGCATCAGGTTGTTTTTTGTTTTTTTGTTTTTATTGCTGTGTAACAAATCACTGCAAAGCAGGTGGCCTGAAACCAGCCAGATGTGGAATTTCACAGAATTCCCAGCTAAGAAGCCTGGTGTATTTAGCTGAGTCCTGTGCTCACAGCCCTCAAGCTGAAAGCCAGGAATCAGTGTGCTTTGCCCTCACCTAGAGGCATGACCAGGGAACTGCCCACATTGAGCATGTTCAAGATTTTACAAGAGGTGATTCCTTATGGATTTAGACAA